ATATTTCCGAAAATTGCCACAAAAATCGCAGCAAAAATCGCCGCAAAAATCGCCAGTGTAAACGGGGCTTTAAAGAGATTGTCTCTTTAATGTTTTGGGCTTCCTGTGTACTAGTCCACGTAGTCAGCTGTATTTAGTCCTGGTAACGATGGCTGAAGCAGGAAAAAAATAGTCCACAAAAAATCCCATTCTGATGTCTGATTAACTTTTCTCTCTCTTACTTTTGTACCGATCGATAATGAATTTACAGATCTATATAGTTTATGGGTCCATGTCGTTATTTATTGCGTTGTTAAACAACGTATTTTTATTATATTATGTGGACCTTTTTGTCTCTGTTTATCGAATTGATAAAACGTCCTTCTGGATTGGAGAAGTGAGTATTGAAAGATCGTTCAAATATTGTCATAAATAACTAGATTATCRACAGAACTTATTCCAGTTATGAAAATAATATTAGTGTTTTTGTTTTAAGTCTACTGGCGTAGCCACAATTATTACATTACTGTTTATCATYCATTAATCATCCGAGTAAGGTATATAGTCATTTACTGTTAAACTTACACGTTTCAATTTCCCAAGCAGTTAAAATTATGTCCCAATTCAAAGATATTTTCCATATGCTTCTTGCTACCGAACGAATATGAGTAGCTATTTTCTTTTTCTCCCATGCRATCTAATGTTATTGTTATTTTTGTTGTATATTGATTTTTGTAAGTTATAAATATTTTGCACTTATTTTACAGGCGATTTTCCTACTTTGGAATTCTCTAAATGACCCCTTGTTTGGCTGGATGAGTGACCATAAATCTCTCAATCCTAACAAGTAAGTCAGTCACAAGGAAACAGCTGATTTAATATTGCATTTGATGTGGGAACATTTGTGTCAATTTGGTTTATTGCCAGAATTTAAAATTAAATACCAGCCAGAATACACTTTCATTATTTTATCAATTCTATCCAACTCTGAAACAACCTCTGGGCTGATCTAAGTCAGGGCACGGCTGACTCACAGATCGAATCATGAAACAACCTCTGGGCTGATCTAAGTCAGGGCATATGGCTAACTCACAGATCGAACCCTGAAACAACCTCTGGGCTGATCTATGTAGTCACGGCACTGTTAACTCACAGATTGAATCCTGAAACAATCTCCTGGTTGATCAAAATGAGGGCACAGCTTGTTCAAAGATCAAACCCTGAAGCAACYTCTGGGCTGATCTAAGTCAGGGCACGGCTCTCACAAATCAAACCCAAAAGCAGCCTCTGCATGGGCTGATCTAATACAGAGCATGGATAAATCACAGATTGAACCCTGAAACCACCTTCATCTGGGCTGATTTAAGTCATGGCACAGCTAACTCACAGTATTGTCCCAATTCTATTGTGACTATTATCTCAGTCAGTGCATAATAATGAAAACAGTGTTAATTCATTTACTGGATTTTTCTTTGACAGTTCAGGAATTAGTACCCCAGAGATTATCAGCAAAAGATTCAGGTATTTTCATAGTTAAATAGCTAATATTTGTAACTATTTTATATCCAGTATTTTACTATTACCACTAGAGTTACATGTACTTGGTGAAATGCTTTCAATCCTCACATTTTATAATAGAATATCATACTAGGTTCAAGACGTTCTTTATTTTTATGTTCACTTTGAAGTTGACAAAGTTGCCAAGAGGACACTGAAAAATCGTTTTTGAAAATTCAATCTTCCTTATAAAATGTACAGTGTACTCTAAAAAAATCTTACTTTATAGATTATTGATAAGTCAATTGCATTATGGCCTCGTTTACTACCAATACCAGAATCCCTTGCACACTTTCTTTTCAGTTATTTAGCACCAATTGGCTTAGTACTTTCATGATGAAATAAGAAAGAAAATTCTTGAAGCATTTTTGTAGTGGCCAAGGGGGAGAGGGGGTACTCTTGCCCATTTAGGGTAGGGATGTGCCGCTGAGCCCATTGAACTCTGACCCTGTTCCAGAGTAAAATCCCTGAAATTCATACCCTGTTCCAGAGCAAGATCACTGAAATTCATACCCTGTTCCAGTATTGCGAAAATGGATACCCTGTTCCAGAGAGGAGAGAGTGTGATTTCATATACCCTGTCCCAGAGCGAGCGTGATTTTATATACCCTGTTCCAGAGCAAGATTGCTAAAAACCATATACTGTTCCGGGATTGCGAAAATAGATAGCCTGTTCTAGAGAGGAGAGAGCATGATTTCATATACCCTGTCCCAGAGTGAACACAATTTTATATACCCTGTTCCATAGTAGAATCGCTGAAAACCATACCGTGTTTGGCAGCACGTACCCAGGGGTACTGGTAGTAAAATGACGCCATCATGCAAATGGCCTATCCTAATGGTTTATTTCATTCTTCATTGTAGTGCATTATCCAAGTATGGTCCATTATTTGCGCTATCATTCCTGATGTTCTGGTTCCAGTGGGGGCCCCCTGGATTACAGTTTGTYGTCTGTCTATGTCTGTATGATGGCTTTTTGACCATGGTTGATCTAAACCACTTAGCATTGCTYGCTGACCTTGCATTATCAGCAACAGATAGAACAAGACTCAATGGYTATTGCTCTATATTCAGTGCGTTTGGTTGTTTGTCTGTCTTTCTTTCTTATTATGTCTGGGATAAGGACAATATTGCATCATTCCGTATGTTCTGCTGTGGTTTGTCCTTCTTTGCTATTCTGGGGTTTTCTTTGGGGTCCATGTATCTTAGAAACCACTTGAAATCGAAGAAAATCAAGGCTGATACTCCAATGCAAGAGAATGGTAAAAGGTTAGTTTTTAATCCTCAGTAATTAATATCACTTTATGCGGCAGCAATGGGGGAGCAGTTGTCAGTTGTACTGTTACTGCCTCCTTTCACATGCTTGTCTTTTCTTTCCTTTTTCTTGTGCTGTGTTAAATTGTATTTTCTATAAATAGTTAAAGTGTGTGCATTTATTTGATGAGGAAATCAATAAAATAGACTTGATTGATCCCAGGTTGCATTGGTGACAAGCTGTGCATTGGCTGAGTACAGCACCTAAGCCTTCCAAGATAGTCTCTTGGCATGCCTCTTTTTTGTGCATGATTAAATTATGATTATGACTAACAGTGTACACTATAAATGTTAGTATATGTAATAGGACTCCATGCTGTCCAATTAAGAAATAATTGGATGAGGAAAATTCCGAGGACTGACAATTGGATGAGGCCGTAGGCCGAGTCCAATTTGGCAGTCAGAGGAATTTTTCAAGTCTAATTATTTCTTGATTGGGGAGCATGAAATCCCATTTCCTATTAATTATATAGCTGCCTAATAATCCCATATCAACAAGACCTGTCCAATTAAGAAAATGATTGGACAGTTACCTATGTGGGATTCATGAGAAGCTGTATAATTAATAGTAATAATTGTGTATTGTTGATTTTTAGGATAGAAATAGCAGTTACCCAGTCCTCAGACATAATGTCACAAGAACTGGAGTTAAAAGAATTTGTAAAGCAACTGTCTTCCCACAAAAACTTCTTGTGGTTTGCTGTYATGAATCTTGTACAAGTAAGTCAAAAACAATGCTATTTAATAGCTGTTATTACCAGCTGAGCCTGCACTGAGACTCTTTTGTTTTAAGAATCATACAAGTGAGACTATTGGGCCAATACKTGTTGCCTCATTTGCATCTCATTTGCATGCATCCATAGTATTTGCTATTAACATTTGCAAGGTTTTAGCATATCAAACCCACTCATACATTCCTATCAAGGTTCAAAGATTTGGTTCATTATTCAAAGTTTGATTTCCATATTGCTCTGAAACTTGCATTAATGAAACAAGAGCATGTTCCTAAGCTTGCTTCTCTTTAGTCTACAGATTCCAGTGTGCTTATATCACAGTACAGATACATGTACATGGGCTACGAAAGTATATATTTTCTTAATGCTGAATAAACACAGATTTCAGATGTCTCAGATTTTCGATAAATTGTTGCGGAAATATTTGTTCTCAAAGTTGATTGTCGTGATTTTTACCTCTTTTACACATAAATCATGAAATAACTTAAAAACGAGACAAGATATCAAAATTCTGAGACACAGCTTTGGAGATTAAACTGTGCTCTTTACGGTGATGTCAACTATTTCCTAGTCAAAAAAATTTCTGTGTTCCGGGTGTTTTTTGAAAAAGAGCGGTCGAAAATTATAAAACTTGCACTCTTTAAAAACTGATAAGATTGTTCAACAAACAATTCTCATGGTTGAAATCTGTGTTTATTCAGCATTAAGAAAATATATACTTTTGTAGCCATTAGATGAATAGTTAGTGCGCTATGACGTTTTTAGTGAACATCGGTCGTGAAGGTCCCCTGGTACCTTAAAACTGAAGAATGTCTACCATTGATTGATCGATGTTTTTTTTGTATATTTTAGGTTTTTCACTGCCATTTCAACAGTAACTTTTTYCCTCTTTTCCTGGACAAGTTACTCGGGGACAGCATATCACCAAAAATGGGAGCCTTCTTATTGGGAGTGTCATTTGTCATACCACACATCAACAACCTGTACTTTCTTAYTCTTTGTCGTAAATATGGTGTATATTCTGTTATCAAATGGCTGTTCTACACCAAGCTTCTGTTGAGTATATCAATGATGTCTTGTGGTCCAAACTGGTCAATTTTAGTTTGTATCTTTATTGCAAGGTTAGTGGAATGCAATTGCAAGATGTTTGTATCCAAGCTAGACCAGAATGCACCTTGTTCCCTATCCAAGGTCTAGTTTCGCTCAAGACCTTATAAGCATGATGAACAAAAGATGTTTGTACCAAAGCTAGACCAAAATGCACCTTGTTCCCTATCCCAGGTCTAGCTTTGAGCAAGACCTTATAAGCATGATGAACAAAAGATGTTTGTACCCAAGCTATACCAGAATGCACCTTGTTTCTTATCCCAGGTCTAGCTTTGATCAACACCTTATAAGAATTATGAACAAAAGATGTTTGTACCCAAGCTAGACCAGAATGCACCTTGTTCCCTATCCAAGGTCTAGCTTTGATCGACACCATATAAGGCATTTTGAGCGAAAGATGTTTGTACTCAAGCTATACCAGAATGCATCTTGTTCCTTATCCCAGGTCTAGCTTCGATCAACACCTTATAAGCATTATGAACGAAAGATGTTTGTACCCAAGCTATACCAGAATGCACCACATTTACATCACCAGAAAGGTTCTATTCATTTCACTACGCACCTAGTAACTACTTTCACGTCGTGATCATACATGTAACTCTAATTTCAAWCCTAAACACTTTGTTTTCAGTAATCGAGTGTTTACTGAAGGTACCTGTAAACTTCTTAACCTGGTTATCAGCGACTTGGTAGATGAAGACTTTGTCATTCATGGCCGTAAACAGGCTATATCAGCCCTGGTATTTGGCACCTCTGCACTTCTTTCCAAACCAGGACAGACCCTGGCGCCTTTAGTTGGTACCTGGCTGCTTGCTGAACAGACTGGTACATCCATTTTCTATTCTGGAGCGGTAGAGGAAWCATCCAAGAATAGTTTTCATAGTACATCAAAGAAAGACTTGCGATGGGGTTGTTTTTGTGTTCTTGTTTACGTTCCTATAGCTTGTGCGGTCATTCAGATCTTAGCATGGTCACGATTTAAACTTCACGGGAAAAGGCTTTCTTGGGTTAAACACACGAGGGAAAACCAAGGATTTTCTACTGSCAATATCTGTTGAATGAAGATATWTTCCTACTGAGCGCACATATCTAATGRGTTGCCTGCAGGATACGGGGACCATAACAGCATGCGCGACTTGTATTTTATTATGCACAGAACTTATGGCTCATCAAACTGTTTACAGCTATCTTGCTCAGCGCTCGTTACCAGTGAGTTAGGAAGTTCGCTAACRGAAACACCTATAATTGCAATAACGTTGTCATATAAATAACAAAATAACAAATAGAAATTAATTATCTTTTAAGCAAAACAGGTTTAATTATTAAACTGTTATGAACGTATAGACTGACATTTCTGATATTACCATGTTGGTATACAGCTCTTTCAAAAAAGRTTGAATACTGCGTACTGAATACTGAATTCTCGACTTTCACATCCCCATRATACTTTGCGTCTTTGGGGGGTAACCAGAGGGTAAAACACTTATTTTGCTGAAGGCTGATCAGAAAATGTTGAAAATACCTTGTTTGGTATCCAAA